TGCTGATGAAATAAAACAACCCTGAAGAAAGGGTGGAGGGATCTAATTTTTGAGGATCAGATTAAGAGTGATGATGGTCATTCCAAATCAGAAATTAGGCTAAAAGCCTCACTTACACCCAGGTGATAGCTTAGAGCGTCCTGTGGAAAGCACCAGAAAATCCACAGTGGTGAAATGCTGAAATCACAGTCGGCTCACCTGTGGATCGAGGTTTTCAATTTCACCAGCAGGAACTCTTCTGCACACTTAAAAAAGATTAGTTTTATTTCCCAAGTGGTGTTTTTCTTTTTCTTTCAGGGAATACAGTTTCTGGTTACTTCACAGATGCTGATTTTGCATGCAGGAAATAAGAGGAGCTTAAATGGGTAAAACCCAACCACCAGAGAGAATTAAAAAGCAATTTCACTGACACACCAATGAGACATTCAATAGATGTGATTATGTGCAGAATGGGGAACAGAAAAAAAGATCACACATTACACCAATCGGAAGGTCCGTCAGGGTCATTCTAAAGTATTAATAGTAAGCATTATAAATATGTCACTAAATATACAAACAGTTCTCTGTTACTTGGGTTTATTGAAATATAGCCTGTGCCATGTGACCTCTCACCAGTAATTGTATATCAGTATTTTAAATCCTGCCAAATTGATTGGTTACATTAACAGACTTTTAACAGAGGAGTATTGATTCACCAACGCACTCTGAAGTTAAAAGTTTCTTTCACATCTTGGACCGGAGTCGTGAGACAACACCCTCAAAGCAAGGACCCACTTTTTTAGGAGATTTTGCCATTTCTCCTCATCAACTTCTAAAATGCAGGCACTCAGGTATGAAAATGATCATTTAGAACATTCACAAATTAAATGTATTTAGCAGGATTTGGGTAAAAGATGGTTGGAGATGACTTTGGTCAGTTTAGACAGACGCTGAAATGTCAAAGGAAATTGCAAAGTGACCTTTAACTTAATTTGATATGATGACTGTTGTGTCTGGCATTCACTGTTTAGCCTCAAATGGTAAACCTCAGGCACCTTGTAATTAAGTTACTGTAAGCTATGTCACATAAACAATCATTTATTCCCTCCACTAGCCTTTTTTTATTCGATTGACAGTACAAGTTGGATTTAATCGGATGCTTGAGGTCAAGATCTCCCTTAATATTTCTCTAATCTAGTTTACTTCATTTCCTCCCTCCTCAGGTCTCAGTTAATCCCTCAGTGGTCTTCAGATGTGCGTCTAGAAGGGAAGACAGCTATAGTGACGGGGGCCAACGTTGGAATAGGCAAAGAGACGGCCAAAGACCTGGCTGGCAGAGGCAAGTAAACAAAATAAAATGAATACCATGATGATAGGCAGTTTGTATTAATATCTTGGCTGTGCAATTTAGATTTTCTGTGTGTGCAAGATATCATGCAAGATTATCAAACATAATGAGGTGGCTCCAAGGTCCAAATTAAATTATATAAATAAACCTAACTTTCTTATGGAACGAATACTGGTTTCAATAAAAAACAGCAGATACATTGGAATTACAAATATTGCCTTTAAAAGTGAGCTTAAAACCACCTCACTTTGTTCAGATTTCAACATAAATGGATGCATTCATTCAACATTAAGAGAGTTCATCTCTGCAGGTGCGCGGGTGATTTTGGCGTGCAGAGACATGGCGAGGGGGGAGCAGGCGGTTCGGGACATCATGAGAGAGGTGAAGGGGGCAAAGGTCGTGGCCAGGCATCTGGACCTGGCCGACACCAAATCCATCTGCCTGTTCGCTGAGAATATCTACAACAGTAGGTGGCATGCACACACATGAACTCCAGAATACTGCATACATTTTTCATAAAGTAATCAGGTAACTTTTGTGATCCAGATGAGAAGACTCTTCACTTCCTGATCAACAATGCAGGCGTGGCCATGTGCCCGTTCGCCACCACAGTGGATGGGTATGAGATGCAGTTTGGAGTCAATCACCTAGGTAGGAGTTTTTTAGAGGTGTCCCTTTGTTTAGTGAATGCTGGGGATGTTTGATACATTCTAGCTTCTCATTGATAAAACAAATCTAACAAAAATGGTATAGGTCCCTGACAGCAGCCACTCTAATTTTCATTTTAGAAATGAACAATTTGCATTCTAACCATAGCTAACTAACAAGTTCATTTTGTGTCTCTAAAGCCTTTGTGTATTTATTTAAACGTTGCATATTAAGTTGCTTCATTTTGCCTTCTCTGTGTCTCATTTCTTCTTCTTTCTCTCTACTTCTACACATGATCCCCCTCCTCAGGTCATTTCTTCCTGACCTTCCTGTTACTGGACCTTCTGAAGCACTCGGCCCCATCCCGGGTCATCAACTTGTCCTCATTAGCTCACACCATGGGCAAGATCCAGTTTGATGACCTGAGCGGAGACAGAGCCTACCACCCGGTCAGGGCCTACGCTCAGAGCAAGCTGGCCAACGTGCTGTTCACCAGCGAGCTGGCCAAAAGGACTGAGGGTAGGCTGTGTGCTTCTGTAAGAGAGGACAGCACTATGCACATGTATGTGTGACTTAATGTCTGTTCTGTGCCTATCTGTCTTCTTCCCTGTGCGTAAAAAATGGATCTGCATCTTTCTCCAGTGTGAGAGTCTCATGCCTCAACCACAACGGCTCCGGGCTAAAAACATAGCATGGAGAAACTTGTTTGTAAAAATAAAACTAACTTTCATCGCTCCACAGATAACACCTTGTTTCTCAATCTCACTTATAAACTATTCATTTATACAGAGATGCTTTCAAGTGAAGGATGGCTTTATTAAATATTTAGCCTAGCATTTATTTACCAAGATTCTGATATTTATCTTTAAATACTTCACATTTGTCATTTGTGTTTGACTTTTAATGGGTTGTCGTAAGGGTTTCCTTCATTTCAGGTTGACCAAAACACCTTTTTTGATTGTATTTTGTGGGTTTGCCATCGGCATCAACTCATTTTAAACAAATCCTGTATCTAAAAACCTTCTTTTGCCTCAGCTCTAGGTGTGATGGCTTACTCTGTGGACCCTGGCATAGTGAACACTGAAATAATGAGGCACCTGGGGCGCCCTCTTGTGGCCATAACCAAGACCATCGGTTTCCTGATGAAGACCCCGGCAGAGGGAGCCTACACCAGCATCTACTGCACCGTCACTCCTGAGAGCCAGCTGCTCACTGGAGGATACTACAAGTCAGTCTGCAATGACAACACAGCTGCAGCAATACCTCAGTAACATCAATTTAAATCAGCAAAACCAACAAGCCTCCTAAGAGGTCAAATCCGATGTCGGGTAGCATCATTACACATTTAAAGAATCTGATGTTTCATAGTGCATAATGTTGGTAATTGTAGTTGTGCTTAAAGGTCCCATGTCATGGCCATTTCTACTGATCATAATTCCATTGTTGAGGTCTACTAAAATAGATTTATATTGTTCAATTTTCCAAACTCACATTGGTTTCTCATACAGCATCTCTGTATAGTATGTGTATTCACTCTCTGTCCTAAACGGCTTGTTGGAGCAAATGTGCGTCTCTGTGACATAAATGTAAACCTGCTGCCCCTTTCATTTTCTCTAACTTTCAAACTGTGTCTTCGCCTACACATTCCACTTTTGTAATAACCAGAAAAGCATGACATGGGACCTTTAACACATTTAGCCCCAATTGAAGAAGAGATAGAAAGGACGTACCTTGTGTGTCAGCAGGAGAGTTTGCAGAACTAGCCTACTGCACACACCACACACAGTCTTCTTAAAAGATGCGAAAACATGTTAATCAGCTACATTACAGTTAAGACTAAAAGCCTTTACAGCAGTTAATAAGGCACTGAATGCACAACAGAGACTTTATTCATGAGACACACATGAATGGATCTAGATTCTAGAAGCTATCATGCATCATTGATTTTGTTTTATCTCACAATGGAGGAGGATTAAATTACACAAATGTTTAAAACTCTAAAATACAAGCATTCATCTGTTTGCATCAATATTCCAATTACTGTAGACTATTCTGCACTGTTTCTATTATATTATATTGGATTTACCTACGTACTATTTTATCTGTTTTATTGTGTTGCACTGTTGGAGGAGCCTGTGAACTTAGATTTGCATTGTCATAACTACAGTGTAGCTATATGCTCACATGACAATACAAGCCTTGAAACGTTGAACAACTTGCATGTTGAAAGGTAATAATGTGTGTGTGTTTCCTCTCATTAGGGACTGTTCCGGTGCAGAGAGCTCCCGGGCCGGACAGGATGATGGCACCGCTTTGAAGCTGTGGGCTGTGAGCTGCCACATGCTAGGCATCCGCTGGAGATAAACTCATATTAATTTGCTCTCCTACAGGCTTTGAAGCACTGTATACAAGCACATAAATATATCCTTAATGTTAACAGATATTATGCTGATAATTAGATTTAGTGAATTCTGAACCTGTGATAGGGGATGGGTCATAATCAGGTAATGATTAAAGAGATGATCAAAGGTTGGGGAAAGCAATGATCAATAGCTGTTGCTAATAAACACTATCACTGGTATTCCAAACGGCCAATGTACTCATCTTTTGTTGTAAATCAGATGTCAGCATTAAGCATCATATTCTAAATGTTCACTGTTGTTTTAATAACTATTTTTCTGAATATCTTATTTGATAATTACCAATAATGTGTTTTTTGTTACAGTGTAGGCCTACACTCCCAATACTGGGATTAGGTATTAACAAACTGGTCTAATTTAATATTTGAGAACCTCGAGATAAACCTCTGATAGGAAGCCTCCTGCTACAATATCACTTTAAGTGAGTTATTCATGAGGGTTGATTTGGCCTCTTCCTAATGCTTAGTGTCAAACACAGCAAAAAAAAAAAAAAAGGATTATATTGACAGTATAGATTTGCCATCACTGTTCTGGGGTCAGTTCGCTGTGAAATTTGAGTTTCTCCGGCTGTGGAGCAATTTGTCGATCAATTATGCGTCCGCTCGCTCCTGATTGGCCAGCCGCGGAATGTCACGAAACAAACCGCGGCGGGGTGGGGATGGCAGGCACGAAGTGTGGGAGCACTAGAGGAGGTGGTTCAGTCTGGATAAAGTGCTTTCCTGAGGTGAATCTGTTGCTCCGGAGGAACAATGAAATGCAGGTAGGAAAACACACACAGCCGGTAACACACGGTAGGACGGTGGCTCTATTATTAACGGAACTGTTAGTAATTTTAGGGAGATTACGTTGCACCGTGCCAGCAGTAAAGAGACCTGTGTTCAAATGTGTATTCTGCGTCGATCCAGACCGTTTTGCTTTGCTTGTTAATCATACGACTTCATTTATTTGGTAAATGAACCGTTGAATTAACCACTCTGATTTTGTTTGATTATTGATACAAACTAAAGATTTTCTGTTATTCTTACAGAAAATAGCCAGGTTCATGTCATTATCACATACAAAGAAGATAATAATACAGGACCTATTACAGGATACAGCAAACATGCCTAAATATAAGTGCTTACATGTAATAGAAATGTCAACATGTGTTTAAAGTCACTGAAATCATCAATGTGTGGGATCTGTTTTGCAAAGTTGATTCTTCTCTAAAAATAATTCCAAATGTCTTCACTCTTTTGGAAAATTCCTCAAATAATCTTGTTTCTGAATGAATGTGTGTAAATAAACAAAGCAGATTACAGTCAGCAAAAACAGGGGGGGGGATTGCACATTTAAATACTAATCTTGAAGGGAGCAACTGTTTTTGATTGATGTGTGTTTTCCTGTGATTGGTCCAGACATGTGTGCTGTTATCGCTGGTCCTCTGAAGAGAGGTTAGATGGGAAAACCGCCATCATCACCGGAGCCAACACTGGCATTGGAAAGGAAACTGCAAGGGACCTGGCCAGAAGAGGTACTCACTGCTTGAAAAAAAACGTGTGTGTGTGTGTGTGTGTGTGTGTGTGTGTGTGTGTGTGTGTGTGTGTGTGTGTGTGTGTGTGTGTGTGGTTTTTTTTTTCATTTTCTCTAACTTTCAAACTGTGACTTGGCCTACACATTCCACTTTTGTTCCCTGGAGATAAGCACCTCTAATGCTTTGGGTGGTCTGAGCTACACATTGTGATCTTTTGTCCTGACTACACTATTGAAGCGTAATCCCACTTGTGTTCCTGTTCAATGTGCTCATGCTGAATACGTTTTGGTCGGACTCTCAGAAGCCTCAGGTTACCTTTGACTCATTCTGAGACGAAAACACAGGGCAGAAGGAAAAAGAGATGCCAAAAGAGAGCTTTTTGCTTAACACCAATCCAAGTGAAAGACCACTGGCAGTGATGGAAGGCAGATGATGCATCCAGGGGACAGAGGAAGCATTGTGAGGGTCTGTTGCCCTCCGAGCCAGACAGGAAACAAAGAGAGATTGGAGGGTGAACTTTAAATGAGTCTCAGCATGGCATCTACCTTGAAAAACAACCCCACTGTGCATTTGTCTAAGTGCATGCATGTGGGCGTTTTGTAGATCAAAAGGGCAACTAGAAATCATGATTCTGTCCATTAATCTATCTTGTAGTAAATAGAAATGAGTATATTTGCAGAGCAACATGAGAAATGAATGGTGACAAAGGAAAGACAGGACAAAAAGAATCATTGCCGCCAGAGGAAAACAATAACACTCTGGTCTCGCTTCTGGAGAATTCCCTGTCGAATAACAGTCTCCCATTTCAGTAAATGTGATTATGTAATGACATGATGCCAACATGATTCGATTTGCAGTGATTCATAACAGAAGGCGGTTCCTGTGGGCGACGTATCAGGACAACCAAACTGAATCTTAAACTTGTTTTAATAATGTATTGGTTGGGTATAACATTAATTTACAATGTTGACAAAGTTAAGTAGTGTGGAATCTGAATATGCAGAGCATGATCAGATTTAAATATGATTTTCCTCTTGTCCTTATTTACATACTGACATTATTTATGCATGCATCTGTTGGAGGGTCTTTAACTTGACTCAGCATAACCTTAGATTATCTCTGTTAGTTCCTAATTTAATTGAGTGAGCTTGGCAACCGGGAAATGTGGGAACGATTGTTATTTTCCCACATGGGAACAGCGGCGAAAACAAAGACACTGTGATGGGATGCAGACGCTACGCTCCAACTGATTAATGGCTCTCCTATTCCGTAATTGGTGGGCATAGCATCAATTTTGTGTGTGTGTGTGTTGTGGGGGTAGTTGTCTATGTATTTGCTAGTTTGTGCGTGCACGTTTGTGTGTTAGAGAGTGTGTGTCTGTGCCCCTATTTTGGGCTCATTAAGGGGATGCATAATAATCTGCGTCAGAGGCGAATGAGAATGTCACAGTTGAGAGGCTCTTGTGTCTATGCGGCTAAATGAGATGCTAAATGAGAGGTTAGAGAACAGTAGGGGATGATTGGAAGTACACCGAGAGATTTCCCCACTTCCTCCTTGATTGACGTAGGTAGCTGTGTTTGCCTGCCAATGAGCTTTTGTAATTTAGAGTTTGGAAACTTTGAAGCCTTAATATAGCACTGTAAAGTTTATATTCAGCAATTAGTATTTGTACTCTGTCTTGGGATTTTTCCTGAGGTGTAAGATGTGCAGCACAAAGAGAAAGCCTCGAGTAAGGCCAGAGTTCATATTGAAATGCTCTATCCATCATTGCAGTTTCTAAATGTGGGGTTTCTACAAGAACATGTGGGTGCTGCGGCACAAATAAACAAGTTGTAGCTCTGGGAGTTTTAAAGTTCCTCGTTAACCTGAGCTGTGTTTATTCAGACTGTGGGATGTTGATGGCATGGGCTGGAGAGAACTTGATATTATTATCATAGGTTGTGACCTTTGGCCCCTGGTTTTTTAGGTGCACGTATCGTCATGGCTTGCAGGGACCTAGAGAGGGCAGAGGAGGCCAGGACGGACATCATGGAAGACACGGGGAATGAGAATGTGGTCATCAGAAAACTGGATCTCTCTGACACCAAGTCCATCCGAGCGTTTGCTGAAATCATCAACAAAGGTATGACACTTAACATTAATGTCTTCCTATATCGGACAGTTTGTGGTTCAATCCCTACTTTCTCCTGTCCATATGTAAAAGTGCTATAAATGCAGTCCATTTCTTGGATTTCTGCCTCTTTTTTGCCGAATAACTCCTTACATATTATGGTGTTTGTGTGGGATGATCTTTTCAGAGGAAAAACAAGTGAATATCCTGATAAATAATGCAGGCGTCATGATGTGTCCCTACTCCAAGACTGCTGACGGGTTCGAAATGCAGTTAGGCGTCAATCATTTGGGTAAGTCATTCTAGAAATTGTGGCGTCTACCTGGATTATAAATGTCATGATAATGCACATGACAACAAAATGTGGCATGTGTTTGAGGGATTTCATAATAAGGTCACAGGCTGGATTTTCCTTTTTGAAGATGGTACAAATATTGTATTGCATAATAGTTGGTGTACACATGTAAAACCAAGCTGTCCAACATGTCAGCCAGGAAAATGGACCAGAGTCACTGTTATCTTCAAGCTGTCAGTGTTTTTTCCCCGTTTTGAACCATGGCTTCCCTTCAAAGTATCCTATCCACCGTGGTATTTTTGTCACAGCCTGAGATGGTGAAGAACAGTCTGTGCTCGAATATGATCACCCACACACATATGCAAAACACACACATATGCAACACACACACACACACACACACACACACACACACACACACACACATTGTTTAAATAACGATAAACTCTGCTTAGGTCAACGTGAAACAGACATCAGGACAATAGTCAGGAAAGCAAAAACCACATCCCACAGGATCTTTACGTTTCCTCTACAGAGGAATCAGTATTGTGTATGTGCATCCTGAACAGAAGGACAGCTTTTGCAAATATTCCTTTGTATTTCCGTTTGCATACAGTTCATTGTTGGTCACATTAAATGTACCTGGGGTGATATCAACTTGAACTGAGCTGAGAAAATGTAAGGAGACAAAGGCATGTTTTCTCATGTATTGTACATGCAGAGCATCAATCCATATGTTCTTTACGTCAGGGTATCCAAGTGTGGTCCATAAACTAGAATCATGACCTCATTATGAACAACGTACTTTGTTTACTATGACAAGCAACCACTGCAGTAATGCCACCATTGTGTTAGCACTTCATAGGGGGTTGTGATTGTAAGAGGTTGAAATAAAGAGATGCACAAGGTGAGACAAAGGTCCCCAGAGAGGAAGAAACAGAAAGAGACCTGGTCCTCAATATCATGATAGCAAAAGTTCTGTAAACCTGAACATCAGTGCAGTGTAAGGGATAAAGAATATTGAAAAAAAGTAAAAACATTGTAAACTAGCTTTGTATACATATGCAGGTCAACTGGAAGTTCATTCATTCCTCTGGGAACATCCGTGATCTGGAATAACATTGTGAAACTCCATAAGTTTGTTTTCCTGTCTGGAATTTGAGTACATTGAATAATTTGAACTGTTGCAGCAGAATTTGGACTGACCATATGCACTGTGCTTCATTCAATTCAGTTGTTTGACTGTGTTGTAAGTGAAATGGTGTTATTGTGTGATTAAAAAGAAACTAGTTAAGCCAATCGCAACATTTGAGTTCAATGCATTTTGCTATGAAATAAATCACAGGAGCCTCTGTAAACAATAGACGAGGAGATGCTGGTCAGGGAAAGCATGCTTGAGTTGGAATGATAAAAACATGTTGAAGAGGACTACAGCACTCACATTTAAAACAATTTCTTTGCTACTAAAAAAAATATATATAATTGCATTATTTCTGAATATGAGAACAAAAAACCTTTGTTGAGTGGATGAAAGGCACAGGGGGAATTAATGAGGTGGATTTTCCGAGCTGAATGCGGCATGGTAAATCTGCAACACCGACTGTTGTGTTTATGATCTTAAACCCTTCAATCTCTCATTTATATCCCTGCGTTTCCCAGTAAAATAAAGTTTACCGGATCAGAGCGTTTCATGGTGTTAGTGAAATCCATCACAGCTTAGGTAAGGATTTTTACAACGTGAGACAATAGCCTGAAAGCATGTGTCTCATGGCTTTACCCAGGTCACTTCCTGTTGACTTACCTGCTGCTGGACCTCATCAAGCGCTCAGCCCCCGCCCGTATCGTGGTCGTGGCATCGGTCGCCCACACCTGGACCGGGCTGCGACTCGATGACATCAACAGCGAGAGGAGTTACGACACCATGAAGGCCTACGGGCAGAGCAAGCTGGCTAACGTCATGTTTGCACGCTCGCTTGCCAAACAGTTACAAGGTGAGGTGAGATGATGCATTTATAAGCACATCAGTAAGAACATATAATTCACACATTTATGCTGTAGCCATGATATAAGGATACACAGGATTATGTGATCGCATGAAGGAGGTTCAAGTATTAATGTCTGGTCTTGAAGGATTGTTACGTCCCGTCCCTCTACCAAGCGGTAGTGGCTCGTGGGAAGACCCGCAACATAAAAACAACCTCGCCTAACACAGAATTTAGTTATCGACGGGCATTTATTTGTGGCACAGCCGTCACTCACATGCATGCCTACCGGCAGAAAGGAACCAAGTCTGGAGGACAGCGTAAAACAAACAAGAAGGGGGCCTGGGCCAGCCACACCATGAGCCGTAGGACCCAGACTTCCCTCCTCTACCCAGAGGTCCAAACACAGCCTACTGGGAAGGAAACAAAGCCACGAAAAACCTATACTAATATCCTCCAGAGTTCACACAATAAATACAGCAAATATATATATATATATCCACATGAGGTGAGAGGAAAGCCACGGTCGTAATCCCTCGGTTTCAGGACGGGAAAAAGAGAACTCTTCTCCTTCAGCTTCTCCTCTTTAAGTCATCCCCAGCTGAATGTCATCAGGACACCTGGGGAAGGCGGAGCCAGGGGCGGACCAGGTGTACCTGCACAGCAGAGACAGAGAAAAACACACCCAGCACGTAACAGCGTGTTTCACACAATGTTGTTTTGCTTGGTAGCTTTCTGTGGATACGACAACATTTATAACAAGTGTACTTTTCGGACCAGTCCCTTTTATTTGGGAGCTTTGTGTCAAGTTGTGCACAGTGCGAGGAGAAACTCATACTCTTCTGTCTTCAATAAATATTAAAAAAGTTACAGCCGGGAATTTCCAGCATATTCATGTTCTGTATAAACCTTAAAGCCCCATGAGACAAAAGTAACATTTGTGATATTGAGCTGATAAAATAAACTTTGATTTACTTTTATTGATGTATTTGGCGCAAGAAGTACACTTCACTTCAGAGCCCCTCAAGAGCCAGATATACATTTTTATTAGCAGGAGATTTGGCTACTATACCTAAAACTCAGTGTTACGGGTCCCAAAATCTTGGGTACCACAGCAACAATAAATTATATCTGTAAAAAACAGAAAAGTGCAGCAGCAAGAATTATACACAGGATCCGGTTGATCGTCTGGATTGCTTCTTATTCAAAATTCAAAGTACACATAGTTACATTCAAATAGCTGTACTTTACAAACATATCACATTTCTCCATTTAAGTTATCCGTCTGTCACAGTCAATTACTGTATCTCAAGGAGAAATTCAACAATAAACAATATAAACACATAACGCTATCAACAGTGGCGGCCGGCCCATAGGGGCGCCGCCCCCCCTTCTTCCCACATGTTTGATTGTCATTCAAAATTTAAAATAAATAAAAATATATATTTAAAAATTAAATATATTTTTAATTTTAATGAACAAGGTAAATATTATATAGTTGGTATCAGTACAATGTATAATCTACAATAAAATCTTGTTTAAAATTGTTTTACGATGTCTAAAGTTACTGATAAGTCACATGTTTCCTGTCTGGCCGCAGCGTGTATCATTACCCTCTCTCGTCCGGGCGGTAGAAAGGAGCCCTCAGCCAGAGCAGCTGCAACCAACAAGCTGACTGTTGCTATCTGTAAA